GCCTGGTTCACCTGGTTGTATGAGCTGGATTCTTGGGACTTTAAATAATAGGAAACTGGGAACAGGGATTGTAATATTTGATCTGTCACATCCCCTAAGGTCATCAATAGCATACAGTAATAGTAAACTGGGAGTAGGGCTTTTATAGCATGTGCTGTCACAGGTCTTAAACTGAAGAACATGCAGTATTGGAAAATGGAGCAGCATTCATATGACATGTGCCATCATAACCCTTAAACTTATCAACACCAAAATAAAAGGAATGATAAGCAAGGCTTACATGGCAGGTGCTCTTTTAGCACTTAAACTCAACAACATACAGTGAAGTAGTTGGATGCTGGGTACCCATAGATCAAGCATTTCCCATGTTGTCCAGTAAGCTGTTTGTGGGAAAAGTCAGGCTACAGCTCTTGGGTCCTACTTAACTTCATGTATGTGTATACAGCCCTAAAAGCTATGCTGATACTCTGTTGATACTGTATGTTTGTTATATTTAGATATCTTGTTGGCTGGGTTGGTAGTGAAGTGGGAAAGCTGAAGTAACTTTTGGTATGACTGCCAAGAATTCTAGACATTTGTGGAATTTAAAGGCTGTATCTCTGACAGAATATGCAAGGAAGTGCCAAGACTGTTGAACTTTGCTTTGGTGATGACTTAACATTGCATTTTGTAGCAATTATTTTCCTTGGTATTTTCATTTGGGGGCATATAATGTTATCAACATTTCTTTATTCCTAGTAATAGGTGAGTGATTTTTGTGTTTCTGTGTTCCCCCCTTTACCTCTTTCCCCATTTGTTTGTTGGAGGTACCATGTAGTTTACTGATGAGAGTATTTGACTTGTAATTGTATGGTCCCAGCATAGAGAAACATATGGGCAAGTTTCCTTACACTCCCACTGTCCCTGTCCACCTAGCAGTAAAAATAGGTTATGTACTTGCATGTTGACCAACTGTTGTTGGTTTCATCCAGGTCAAAATGCATTAGAAAACTCCAGTCCTGGAATGTCATACCTTGTGTAAAAAAATTCCAGTACATCCTGGAAGCACTTAAATATTGGGTAGGGTACAAGGTATATGTTTACCAAATGATGTTAATTTAAAAAATTGAGTTTGAATGTGAAATGAAAATCTGTTCAGTGTTTTGCACTTGCTTGAGTATGATTGCTGGTAAACATGGCATACTTCTGCTGTCATTTAGAATGCACTTGCCTTTAAGAGGAATAGTTGTGATATGTGCTGTACCTTAGAGAAAGAAATAGGATTTCAATTAGAGCTCAGTCTCTGCAGGAACAGGAAAATAGAATTCACAAACAAAAGCTCTTTATCATGAGAGAGATTGGGCAGGATAGCAAATATCTTGTGCATATAGAAACCTAGGTACTGCATTGTTTCTTATAAGAGTAGAGTATATGGAGAGTAAAAGAAAGGTGAAGAGAGTGGTGAGAGAGTGCAAAAGGAGAGCAGATGATAGAGTGGGAGAGGCACTGTCAAGAAATTTTAATGAAAATAAGAAAATATTTTGAAGTGAGTTAAACAAGTTAAGAAAGCCTAGGGAGCAAATGGATTTGTCAGTTAAAAACAGAGTAGGGGAGTTAGTAGATGGGGAGAGGGAGGTTTTGGGTAGATGGCGAGAATATTTTGAGGAACTTTTAAATGTCGACGAAGAAAGGGAGGCGGTAATTTCATGCACTAGAAAGGGGGTAAAGCAGCTGGAACTGATGGGATCATGACAGAAATGTTAAAATCAGGGGGGGGGGGATATAGTGTTGGAATGGTTGGTATTTTTGTTTAATAAATGTATGAAAGAGGGGAAGGTACCTAGAGATTGGCAGAGAGCATGTATAGTCCCTTTATATAAAGGGAAGGGGGACAAAAGAGATTGTAAAAATTATAGAGGAATAAGTTTACTGAGTATACCAGGAAAAGTGTACGGTAGGGTTATAATTGAAAGAATTGGAGGCAAGACAGAATGTAGGATTGCGGATGAGCAAGGAGGTTTTAGAGTAGGTAGGGGATGTGTAGATCAAGTGTTTACATTGAAGCATATATGTGAACAGTATTTAGATAAAGGTAGGGAAGTTTTTATTGCATTTATGGATTTAGAAAAGGCATATGATAGAGTGGATAGGGGAGCAATGTGGCAGATGTTGCAAGTATATGGAATAGGTGGTAAGTTACTAAATGCTGTGAAGAGTTTTTATGAGGATAGTGAGGCTCAGGTTAGGGTGTGTCGAAGAGAGGGAGACTACTTCCTGGTAAAAGTAGGTCTTAGACACGGATGTGTAATGTCACCATGGTTGTTTAATATATTTATTGATGGGGTTGTAAAAGAAGTAAATGCTAGGGTGTTTGGGAGAGGGGTGGGATTAAATTTTGGGGAATCAAATACAAAATGAGAATTGACACAGTTGCTTTTTGCTGATGATACTGTGCTTATATGAGATTCTAAAGAAAAATTGCAAAGGTTAGTGGATGAGTTTGGGAGTGTGTGTAAAGGTAGAAAGTTGAAAGTGAACATAGAAAAGAGTAAAGTGATGAGGGTATCAAATGATTTAGGTAAAGAAAAATTGGATATCAAATTGGGGAGGAGTAGTATGGAAGAAGTGAATGTTTCAGATACTTGGGAGTTGACGTGTTGGCAGATGGATTTATGAAGGATGAGGTTAATCATAGAATTGATGAGGGAAAAAAGGTGAGTGGTGCGTTGAGGTATATGTGGAGACAAAACGTTATCTATGGAGGCAAAGAAGGGAATGTATGAAAGTATAGTAGTACCAACACTCTTATATGGGTGTGAAGCTTGGGTTGTGAATGCAGCTGCGAGGAGGCGGTTGGAGGCAGTGGAGCTGTCCTGTCTAAGGGCAATGTGTGGTGTAAGTATTATGCAGAAAATTCGGAGTGTGGAAATTAGGGGAAGGTGTGAAGTTAATAAAAGTATTAGTCAGAGGGCTGAAGAGGGGTTGTTGAGGTGGTTTGGTCATTTAGAGAGAATGGATCAAAGTAGAATGACATGGAGAGCATTTAACTCTGTAGGGGAAGGAAGGCGGGGTAGGGGTCATCTTTGAAAAGGTTGGAATTAAGGGGTAAGGGAGGTTTTGTGTGCGAGGGGCTTGGACTTCCAGTAGGCGTGCATGAGCATGTTCGATAGGAGTGAATGGAGACGAATGGTATTTGGGACCTGACGAGCTGTTGGAGTGTGAGCAGGGTAATATTTAGTGAAGGGATTCAGGGAAACCGTTTATTTTTATATAGCTGGACTTGAGTCCTGGAAATGGGAAGTACAATGCCTGCACTTTAAAGGAGGGGTTCGGGATATTGACAGTTTGGAGGGATATGTTGTGTATCTTTATACGTATATGCTTCTAAGCTGTTGGGTTCTGAACGCCTCTGCAAAAACAGTGGTTGTGTGTGAGTGAGGTGAAAGAGTTGAATGATGATGAAAGTATTTTCTTTTTGGGGATTTTCTTTCTTTTTGGGTCGCCCTGCCTCGGTGGGAGACGGCCGACTTGTTAAAAAAAAAAAAATCATATGATCAACATGGACCTTATCTGTCATAGGGTCGAGCCCCACCATTCTGTGATTTGTTTGCAGTCGTGTTATTACAATTTCATGAGTCATGAATCAGTACTACTTACATTGGGGATATGTATTTTTGGTCAGTACTGGCAGTCCCCTCTAAATGATGTTTCAAAATTTGACAGTTGATATATGTATTAGGAATACGTACTTGCTTTGTAATGCTAATGTTTTTGATTTATAGCTGCTGCAGTAGCTGAACCTGCCATTTTTTTTCCAATGGCATTAATGTTGAAACTCATGAAAAAAGTTCACTAAACAAATGTGTGTGGTTTAGTGCACTTCAGGCAGATTTCCCAAGGCATTTTATGGCTGCTGATTTTTCCTGGTTAGCCTGGCTATTAGTGCTGATAGCACACTGTTTGATTGGCACTGCAACCCAGCTGGTCAGGGAACATATACTAGTATGGGTTTACATTTTCTGAGAGTTTCAGTTTTAGTAAGATTTGTATGACTGCTGGGGTATCTGTTGGGATCTTCAAAAAATCTGAGGGTACAATATTGGTATTCTTTTACTATTACAGTAGCAGTTTGATGTTTTTTAATAAACCTGAAATACTGTATTTTCACCTCGTGTGAAAATATCTATTATATTATCATATACGTACTGTACTTGTTACTGAGATTGAATTTTATTTTTTGAGTTTGGTTAGTTTGTTAGTGTAGTATTGTATGTGCAAATGAAAGTTAATTTCTCATGGAATCTTAAAAGTGGACCTATTATATTACTACATAGTTGAACTAAAAATTCTCTATTTTAAACATAGTGATAATGTCATGTGTGACCTTGAACAGAAAAAAAATTCTTGACCAACCATTTTCTTTGGATGCCAGAAAATTGAGCAGAGTATATGAGACGTACTGTATCACTGTTTTTGGGTGGTTCATCATGAGGTACTGAAATTTAAAACATACACATATTCAACAAGAGATAGATAAAATGAGTTTATATACTACAGTATTTTGTAATATTGTGTCTCCAGCTAACTTACTGTGTTGTTTTATCTTGGAATGCTACTATAACAATCACTCTATTGCTGTAATACTACAGTTTCTCACAAAAATTTGTCATACTAATTCCAGACTTACCCTACCATACCCAAACCCAGCTTTTGCTTAGTTAAGAAAAAATTTCATATTATATTAAGGATATACTGTAGATACTTTGTATTCTTACTGGGTACAAATATCTCTTAGCTACATGCATTATTCAACTCACCAGTAAGGCACTGTACAGGAATGGTGAAAGTACCTTATATGACACTCATGTTATGGGTTACATCACATGTACAGATTCTTGCCTCAAGAAATCTATGGAATCTCTTAGATTATTTCATGGCTTATTTTAAAAGCCTTTTTCCTCAAAATAATCTTTTAAAGATTGCCTCATCTTAATGTTTTTTTTTTTTTATTTTTCTTCCAGCACGGAAGGAGAAAGAGAAGAAGGAGGAGATGAGGGCACGTCTGAAGAGGCAAGCTGATCCATACGCTGAACAGAGTAGTGATGGAGAGGAGGAAGAGATGCCAGGTAAATATGCACTAACATGGGAAATATTCTTTATTTGCACTTAATGCATAGGTTAGTCAAGGATGGTACAAAAGTGAACGTTTAGGTTAACACTGTGCAAGTTGTGTGATCCATTGTGTAGAATAATTGTTTAACTTTAGCATAGTGCAGCATTTTATACATACTACAAATGCATTTTTTTATATGTTATCCTTTCACAGGTGTTATATGCAAATACTGTACAGTCATATTAGTCAACATAATTATCATGGCAAAATTATAGAAGGGCTAATTCAGTGTCATTATTTTTAAAAAATATAAAAATTAATACTGTATTGTATTTTATATAAATGGGTGACCTAGTGGTATGGAAAATTAGATATAAATCCCACAAAAATTGAAAAACTTTTTTTTTTTTTTTTTTTTTAAATAACTACAGGCAAACCTTGCTGTACACATCCCTTTCACTATTACCTTATTGTATTTTTAGTGATATGATTTGTGAATCCCATTTACTGTCGAATTACCCCCCCCCCCCCACTGATCACTGTCCCTTTATATTTTGGGTGCTGTCATCTGCCTGCCCTGTATATACCGTTTTTTTGTTTTTAACGCCATCAGTGCTTTGTCCACTTCTCACTTCCAAAAAAAGGAAAAAATAAGGTTGCTGTGCTCAGTTTTCCATTTTGCAATTCACTTTGGTTACAAACATGCCTGTTCTTGCATATCTCTATCATTTGTTAGAAATACAGTGGTCCCTCAATAATCGTCCATAATCCGTTCCTGGAAGTGGGACTATTATCGAAATGGACGATTTACGAATCAATTTTCCCCATAAGAAATAATGTAAATTCCATTAATCCGTTCCAGACACCCAGAAGTATTAAAACAAAAATTTTTTTTTACATGAAATATAGATATAATACATAAACAGTGGCACAAGATGAATTAAACATTAACAGAATAACACTTACCTTTATTAGCGATTCTTCTTTGTGTATGGAAGACTGGAGAAGGAGACTGATTGGATGAATTACTGTTTGGAAGGGGAATCCCCTTCCATCAACACCTCGGGTACTAATTGCTTTTCTGGGGTTACTTCTCTTCTCTGTTTCTTAATGCCACTAGGACCACCTTGAGAGTCACTGGAGTCCTGTCTCACAAAAAAACTGTCCAGAGAGCTCTGTTTCTGGCGTCTCTTTAAAACTTCCCTAAAATGGGCCAAGACTCTGTCACTGTACAAGTTGCCGATATGGCTTGCAACATCCCTCTCAGGGTGATGTTTCTCCATAAATCTTTCCATCCTACCCCACATTTCAAAAATCTCCTTAAATTCTGAAGAAGGCACCTTCCTCCATCTCTCTTCCTCCTCCTCTGCAGCAAGATTCTGAGCTGCGATCTGTTGCTGTTCCTGCTGAAGCTCTTGCAGCTCCTCAGTGGTTAGCTCTTCGTTGTGGTCCTCCACCAACTCTTCCACATCCTCCAAACTCACATCCAACCCCATGGAAGTCCCCAGTGCCACAGTGGATTTAACAACTGACATAGGCTCATCAGGGTCAGCCCCAAACCCTTCAAAATCCCTCTTGTGGACACAATCTGGCCACAATTTTCTCCAAGCATTGTTCAAAGTCCTGGTAGTCACTCCCTCCCAAGCCTTACCTATAAGGTTTATGCAATGGCGAATACTGAAATGTTCTTTCCAAAAATCTCGTAGGGTCAAGTGAGTGTCTGAGGTCACATTCAAGCACTTTTCAAACATTGCTTTGGTGTAGAGTTTTTTAAAGCTTGCAATGACCTGCTGGTCCATGGGCTGGAGGAGAGGAGTGGTATTCAGGGGCAAGAACTTTACTGTGATGAACCCAAACTCCTTCAGAATTAGGTCATCCAAGTTTGGAGGATGAGCAGGTGCATTGTTCATTACTAGGAGGCACTTGAGATCCAATTTCTTTTCCAGGAGGTAATTCTTCACACTAGGGCCAAACACTTCATTGAACCACTGTACAAAAATTTCCCTCGTGACCCATGCCTTACTATTAGATTTCCAAAACACACACAATTTACTCTTCATAACATTGCTTTTCCTGAACACTCTGGGATTTTCAGAATGGTACACTAGTAATGGCTTCACTTTGAAATCCCCACTAGCATTAGCACAGAACATGAGCGTCAGCCTGTCTTTCATAGGTTTGTGTCCTGGCAGTGCCTTTTCTTCCTGAGTAATGTAGGTCCTCTTTGGCATTTTCTTCCAAAAGAGGCCTGTTTCATCACAATTGAACACTTGTTCAGGTTTCAATCCTTCAGCCTCTGTGTACTCCTGGAATTCATGCACATATTTTTCAGCCGCCTTGTGGTCCGAACTGGCAGCCTCACCATGCCTTACCACACTGTGTATGCCAGTACGCTTCTTAAATCTCTCAAACCAGCCTTTGCTGGCCTTAAATTCACTCACATCATCACTAGTTGCAGGCAATTTCTTTACCAAATCGTCATGCAACTGCCTAGCCTTTTCACAAATAAGCGACGTCATAAGACTATCTCCTGCTAATTGTTTCTCATTTATCCACACCAATAACAACTTCTCAACATCTTTGAGTACTGGTGATCTCATTTTTGTCAGCATATATACCCCCTTTGCAACAACAGCATCCATGATTTCCTTTTTCTTGGCTATGATGTACGGGATTTGTTATACATCCTGGCCAGTTCGCCCACACGTGCACCACTATCATATTGTTCAATTATGTTTTTCTTAAATTCAATCGTATTTCTCACCTTCTTTACCAAAGGCTTGGCACTAGGAGCTTTCTTTGGAGCCACGGTAGCTTATTTAGCACTTAAATAACTTGCAAGCACTAAAATAAATGAAATATGAAATATTTCCCTGGACCATGTGAGGGGACCGTCGCTCACTGGTAAACAATGGCACACTGGCTGGGAAGGAAAGGCCGAGGTGGCTGGAGGCGGCTCAGACCGTGAGTACGCCTCCGGGACGAAGGACTATTAGCAAGTTACCGGACCATTTCCGAGTCAATATTTTGACGAAAAAACAGGACTACAGTGGACCCCCGCATAGCGACTTTAATCCGTGCAAGAGGGCTGATTGTTATGCGAAATGATCGGTATGCGAATGAATTTTCCCCATAAGAAATAATGGAAATCAAATTAATCCATGCAAGACACCCAAAAGTATGAAAAAAAAATTTTACCACATGAAATATACATTTTCCTACACACAAAGAGAAAGATACATGCACAATAGTAGAGTAGTACATGCACAATATGTATTGTGCATGTACTACTCTACTAAATGAAGAATAAATGACACCTTTATTGAAGATGCAGCAATGACTGATGAGACACTGTGTCCTGGGAGTGCCTTTTCCTCCTGAGTACTGTAGGTCCTGTTTGGCATTTTCTTCCAGAACAGGCATTATCACACTGTGTATGCCACTACGATTCTTAAATCTCTCAAACCAACCTTTGCTGGCTTTAAATTCACCAATATGAGCACTAGTTCCAGGCATTTTTCCCTGTTCACCTGGGTGTTAGTCGACTGGTGTGGGTTGCATCCTGGGAGACAAGATTAAGGACCCCAATGGAAATAAGTTAGACAGTCTTCGATGACACTGACTTTTTTGGGTTATCCTGGGTGGCAAATCCTCTGGGGTTAATTGTTTCTTGGTATTCTCAATAAGCCACACCAACAACGGTGCTACAGCAGCAGCAACAGCAGCTGACAGTGCTACAGCAGCAGCAGACGATGCTACAGCAGCAGCAGACGATGCTACAGCAGCAGCAGACGATGCTACAGCAGCAGCAGACGGTACTACAGCAGCAGCAGCAGCTGATGGTGGTACAACAGCAGCAGCAGCTGACAGTGCTACAGCAGCAGCAGACGATGCTACAGCAGCAGCAGACGATGCTACAGCAGCAGCAGACGGTACTACAGCAGCAGCAGCAGCTGACGGTGGTACAACAGCAGCAGCAGCTGACAGTGCTACAGCAGCAGCAGACGATGCTACAGCAGCAGCAGATGGTACTACAGCAGCAGCAGCAGCAGACGGTGCTACAGCAGCAGCAGCAGCTGACAGTGCAGCAGCAGCAGCATCAGCTGACGGTGGTACAGCAGCAGCAGCAGCTGTACCACCAATAGTAGCGATGGTTGATTGGGGTTTATTATGCAACCTGGCCAGCTCGGAGACACGCACTCCACTTTCATACTTATCAACGATCTTTTTCTTCATCTCTATAGTAATTCTCACCCTTATTGCTGTAGGGTTGGCACTAGAAGATTTCTTGGGGCCCATGGTCACTTATTTTCCAGATAAAATCACCAAAAACACTGTAATAATACGAAATGTTCCGATTGTATGCTTGGATGTTACCGCGGAGGCTGGCTGGTAAACAATGCCACCGGCAGCACATGTGAGGCTGGCTAAGGGCGCACATTGGACGCGTCTTGGACGAAGAGCAGTGAGCGGGTTTTTGAGCGGTATGCGAGGCAAAATTTTTGCGATAAAAGCGAGCGGTATGCGGATTGAACATTATGCGATGCGTACGGTATGCGGGGGTCCACTGTATTTCCGAAATGGACGACTTTCAGGCTGGACGATTATTGAGGGACCACTGTAATTGAATGTTGCAGTTACACACAGTAGAAAGGGTTCAGCATCCATTAAAATGGAAGAGTATGACTGTTTATTTTTGGATTTTACATGTGTTTCATGTGTGGGATTTGGATTTTACATGTGTTTCATGTAAGTGATCTGGGTGAATTTACCCATGCCAAAAAGTACTCTTATCACTGAAGTCAATGGTTAGTGCAGCGGAACTCTTACGGAAGGACATGAAACATTTTGTCTTGCTGGAAATGCAGAACTCCACCTCTTTTAAACAGTCTGCTTGACCAAGCAGTTAACAAGGAAACCTAGCCTAAGGCCAGGCTATGAGAGTAGAAGAATCCTTGAAACAGGTCAAAGATGTGTTACACAGATAGTGACCACCATGCAATACCTCTGTAT